GTGGGTGGGTGGGATGTAAAAATAAGTGTACAGTGATGAAGCCAGCTGGATTCTGATTTCTTTTTGCACCAATCATTGATTCATTTTCTTTAGCCACTCCATTTCTATTCAGATTCCCATGGGGCTGTAGCATATCCCTGCATACATTAAGCAGAAGGCAGAAAAACAAACCTGTCCAGGAGAGACTAACTCGGATACACAATTTTTTAAACCCACACGTGAAGCTGTGGGAAGTTTAGAGATCTTGTAGGAGGAAGCCAGGACAATATAAGAACATACCCTCTTCACTTTTGGTGTATTAGAGTTGTAGAACAAGGAGCGTCTTAGTGGCCTAGGGTTTAACATGCTGACCATCCTTAGTTGAAGTAACAAGCTTTAAAAAAACAGCAAAAAAACAATTTGAAGAAAAACACATTTCTGCAGCTTTATAGCATAGGGTGGACAGACAATGGGTAACAATATAAAAACAACCCTCATTTCAGGTTAAAGTTTGTGAGTTACAATTAAAATGTCTTAAAATTACCTGACCAGATGCAAACAGAGTTCAATTTGGTCTATGCTGTGAGAAATTAGATGAATGGTGAAAAAACAGTTTCAGTTAATGATGACAAAAGCCAAGTGTATTGCTTCACATCATTTTATGTAACTTAATGTTGCTTGTTTAATGTTGCACACACCACAAAGTCACTGCCACAAACTGCCACCTGTGGCAATTCAGCATCAAGAGCTGACTAGAGCCACCTGTGTGGCTATGCATGAGCCAGTGGTGCCTGACTGCAAACTGTTGGCTTAAAGAAGACTGAACCTGATGATTATTTTTATAATGTTTTAGTTGAGGACTGGATAAAACAACACAGCCAAATCAAATTGAATCAAACAAACCATCATATCTTTTAATCATTAAATCCAACAATTCAGCACCTGTGAATGTACTAGGTGCTGTATCTGCTATAAAATAAATTATTTCTGATCTACTTGCCAAGTAAAATGAAGGATATCTTACTAAGAAGTAGGTACCACTTAATATTAATTAGGATTCTAATTAGGATATAATGGCAAATGCAGTGGAGCTTAAATGCAAATTCGTAATTAAAGCATAAGAATGCACTGCTGTTTTATAGGGATTTTGTCTTTCTGAGCTAAAATGCAAAAATAAATCTGAAAAACATTTTAAGAAATGTATCAGTATTTTGGAGAGGATGATTGTGCTCATGCTGTGCAGTTAAATTGGAGGTTATGGATTGGTTGGTAAATGCAAATACTGATAAACAAATTGAAAAATTATAAAAGCGCAGGTACAAACTAGCCTCATGACATGTAGGCACATCCTATGTGTACAAGCATGTGTACTGCGTGTCATAATTCATTCTAAATGTGTCCTAATGGTGCTAAGCAGGTGGGACAGATCCCCCATGTGTCTTGATGGTGGCATTGCCATTGATGTACAAATGTGTGCAAATTCAGTAAACACAAATCAAACTGGAAATATGTGCCAGACTTATAGGATTTCCAAATTTACACATTAGTTGTAATGACACTTGGGGGAAAAAATATCAAAAACATATCATGAAACAGCAACAGTCGGGCAACACCGCACGAGAAAAAGAGGTTTGTGAATATAGGAAGCCAACAAAGAGAAGGTCAGAGGGTATCAGTCCCCAGGGGATGCAGTTACCCATAGTTACCAATCCTTACCCTCAGCTCTGGGGAATTGGACGAGGCGGGGCCGGGTCTCTACAGGAGGATGCTGCGATACAATGTGGAGGAAGAAGGAGGGTGGAGTCAGGGAGGTGCATGCTGTGTAGCAGCTGGTGGGGGAAGGGAGGAGCGAAGAGAGATGGGAGGGAGGATGGGGCCGTTGTTAGAGCAGATCCCAGTGCTATTGTATGCTGCATCCCAGCTCAGGTAAGAGATATAGTGAATGTACGGTTTCTTAGATGTTAACAAGCTGAGGTAATTTTTAAGTAATTGGTAAAAGTTTAGAGTGAAAATGTTTTATGAGCTGTTTTAAATGAAGAGCAAGTAGCTTCATTAGATGTACATGTTGCTATATTTCATCAGGTGACCAGAACATGTGTGTCTTTGTGTCTTAAAGTGCATGTACAACGACTGTGTGATCAGTAACCTCCATGAAAGCACTCTAATTTATATTTCTGTGCCATTACAGCAGCAGCAAGAGCCAGTTAGCCCAGTACATGTGCTTTGTGTGTACATGTAATCTTAGTCCCTTGACTTGGCTACCTGTGGAAAAACCAACTGTGTGTATGTGTATGCTCCTTTTAGTATTTGTGTTTTAGAAGGGATGTGTTTGTGCCAAGTTGTGCAGAGCTAATTAACCAGTGTAATCAGTGGTGGTTGGAAATGTAATTATGGTGGAGGAAAATGGGAGTAAGACACAACAACACCCCTCTGAGGGCAGTTGTTCATGGCAACTGGATGGCACAACAGAGTGGAGATGTTGCTGAATTGGATGAGGGCACAAACAGAAAACACCTAACACATACTCTGAACTTTTTTAGTTGGTTGTTAAAATGCAGTACAACTACTAGTAATGTGCTCTTCTGGCTCTGATCCTTGAATTTGTTTGTTTGTGTGTGTTTATCTTGGCTTGTTTGTGTGGAGGACAGGATTTATTCATGATTTATGGGATACCTTATTGTTTGGGTACCTTTTTTTTATAGCTCCTTTTTGTATTGGGGAAGTAAGCCTTATATTTTGTATCTATTCTTTTCTTGTCCAGTTGCAGTTGCACAAGCGGCTCTTGGTTGCTGCTGAATTTAATATTAAGTAGACCATGAGTGGCTGTTTTGGTTTTCAACTGGATAATAAGCTGTTAAAAACTGACCAGAGGAGGCCAGAATAGATTATATGTACTATATATGTGTCTATATACTGTGTGTGTAAGTCTATAATAGTTTATTCGCTAGAGGTTTCACTTGGGAATAACGACATCAGTTCTCTTTATACCATTGCTGTTTCACTTGTTATTTATCATGGGAATGCGCTTGCAGTGTGCTGTCGAGTCATATAATATTATTTAACTGGTTTGATCACTGGGTGATCTTGTCACGGGGGATGGGAGCCTATATATAATTAGGCTGACATAGTGGAGTTGTCATTCCAAAATTCTTCTGCTTCTCACAGAAGCGTATCGACCTGGTGCTATTGTGATGCTAAGCTACGTAGAACATCGACGACAGAGGTGAAAAATCGTCACGGCTGGTTGTTCTGGCTGTATCAGCGCATGCTAGGTTCATGATAGTTGCTGTCTGTCCTGCACTGAGTCTGGGGTGTAGGTGAGCAATACTTTTACTAAGGAATAGCATACTCTCCAGCTTGATATTCCGTTATTTTTCTGATAGTCCTGTGTCGGTTCATTGCACTGCAATTTACTATGGACAGGACCAGGGTTTTAGAAGGGGTGACCAGTTATTTGTGTTTGGGAACCATCTGGAAGGCCTGTGTCAATGCATCTTTTTCAACTGATGTAGGGTTATTGCCCCAAGCAATAACCGGGTAATTTTAGTCCGTGTGCAAGCTATCAGACTATGCTACCACAGCAGAAGCAGCGTTCACGTCTTCTCACCTGCGCATTAACCGGTCTTGTGCTGGAAGCGACTTTATTGTCCCAGGTTGACATTCTCGCGCAGCTACAGAAGGATCTGTACGAGTTTCTTTGAATTGAAATTATAAACCAGTGGTTATATGTGCGAGCACTTATGTGCGGATGCTTGATTTACTATTGTTCTTTCTCTGCAGTGTCCCATTAGATTTATGTGAAGGCAGATGCTTAGAAAGGATCTGCGTCTTTTACTGTATTTGTTCTGGCTGAGTGGAGGATATATTAGCCACTGTTGTTATTTTTGAAGCACAGTAGTGCTAAGTAGCAAAAGTTTGCTCTGAATGTGGCTTGAAGTAAACAGAGGAGGGTTCTGGTTAATTACAGGAATTAGATTGTCTGTGACTCTGTATGTTGTGCTTCATGCAAAGGTGCAGACAAGAGGAGTGAGAGAGTATAAATCTTTGTAAGGGTTGTGCTTGTATGTGTGTGTTTGATAAAGGAATCTATTGTGTGCAGATTTTCTTTACAGGGGTGTATGATTTCTTGGGCTGCTAAAAACAATATAAACACATAGTTGCACTTGTCTTAAAAGCTTAAAAGCTTACCAGCTTTAGCCTTGAACATTTTATTTTATTCTATTCTATTGTAGTATGTTCCTCTCTTGTGTATTTACTTGCATGGGTGGATTAACAGTTGTGTTTGATGTTGCTCTAACACTGTGCCTCTGTCTTTATCTGTCTCCTAGAATCAAACCAGTAACAATGCATGGCCTGTAAGCCGCCAATCATGGCTCATAGGAAGAGGCCTGGGACCAGCGGAGGAAACAGTATGGCTGCTCCAGGCCCCGCCTCCTGTCCCACCCCTCATCCTACAGAGTCATGTGATCTGAAAGCACTCCCTGCTCGGCAACGCCCAGTCCGCTACCCCAAAGAGTCACATGATCCGAAACCCCTCCCCCGTTCCTGTAAGGCACAGTATTCATCTCCCAAGACTCAAGATGTGAGTTGCAAACCTCCAGAGGTGGATGTAGATCCAGAGGTTGAAGTGAAACAGTACAGCAACCAATCAGATGCAGACCTGGAGGACCAGCGGCCAGCCACACCCTCCACGCCAGAACACGAACATGACCAAGATGACCATGATCGGGCAGACTTCCGTGGTGGAGCTGACAGCCTGGATGATGACTCCAGCTCTGACTACATTAACAACACCTCAGATGACGAGGAAGACTATGATGATGGTAAGTATGACGTAAACGATGGCGGGTGATAAATATTTTATTATTATCCCGAATAAAGATTTCAGCCTTGGCACTTTATTATCCATTCTTCCATTATTGATTCTCAACTTTTCATTTTGTTCGGTAAAATGTTATGTGGGACAAAAAGATTGCACTTGAGCTGCTGAATAAAAAACAGCATATACAGAGAAGCTAAAAAGACAAACACTGGCTCTAGATAGGGCTGTTTACTTATTTTCACCTGCTTCATGGCCACCATAGTTTCTTTTTTGCGCTTGGAAGGGGAGGGTGACGCGAGAGAGTTGCAATCTGGGACTACACCATTAGACGCCACTGAATCCTACACCCTGGACCTTTAAAACCTGTCAAGTAGCTGTACGTGAGTGAGACATGAGCAAGATTAGTGACAAACGCAAATCTTTAAAGATTGGAACTGATTATTGATTCCCATACATAATAAGAACCTGTGAACATTTAGAAATTTAGTCCTTACCGTGATGTTAATAGAAGAAGCCCCAGATATTAAGTAACATGTCTGTTTGTAATCATTAACCCTGCAGGGCTGGCAGAGGAGGATGAAGGTGTTACTTATTACATCCGCTACTGCCCAGAGGACGACAGCTACCTGGAAGGTATGGATTGCAGTAGCCAGGGAGACTGCAACCACAGCCACAGCCACAGCCAGGGGGATTGCGCCGGCACCATGCAGCCGGGCGGAGCCCACACTGATGAATGCCAGGAGGCCGTGGAAGGGTGGGTCGAGGAGGGGGAGGTTGAGGGGGAGGTGAGAGAGGAGGAATGGGTGGAAGACGAGGAGGGAGAGGGGGCAGTGAGGGAAGAGTGGAGAGAAGAGGAGGAAGAGGTGAGGGAAGAGTGGAGAGAGGGACATGAGGAGGTGAGGGAGGAGTGGAGAGAGGAGGGCCAGGTCAGGCAGGAGCAGTGGGTGGGACGAGAGAGGCACAGGGTGGAGGAGTGGGTTGAAGGAGACGGGGAGGTTCGCTGCGAGGTGGTTGAGCAAGACCCGGACGAACAGATATACAATGGGAGGCCAGAACCCATCTTGGACCATCAACATCACCATCATCTCCACCACCAACCCTCCATGCAAGACACCCTGCACACCCGAGAGGAAGAGGAGGAGGCAGAGAGCGACGAGTACTGCCCTAATGAGGAAGAAGATGAGGAAGGTGAAGAGGAGGACAGACATGGAAGGGCCTACACTGGAGACTACTATGCCCCAGAGGACAATGGGAATTCAGTGCGAGTCTCTCCTTATCGTAGCCGTAAGGTGCTAGTGGTAGAAGGGGAGACAGGGGAGGAGGCGGAGGAGGACATTGACCAAATTGTTGCAGAGATCAAGATGAGTATGAGCATGGGGAGTCTAAGCAGTGGCACTGACCAAAGCCCAGAGGAGCTGGTGCAGGATCCTGCACCAAGTGACTACCCTCACCCCAAGCCTGACACAGCCCCCTACCCACCAGCTCATCATCGCCACGACAGCAGGCCCAAGTCCCTGAACCTGCCCTCCATGCACCACAATAACCCTGACCTCCAGAGGGGCATCAAGGCACATGCACGTTCCCCTGAAGACAGGCAGAGATGGACACAGGAGCAGGTGAGCTGTTTTTGAGAGGTTAAAGGTGTAAACATAATTTTTCCAGTGTACCAATATTCACCCACTTAAAGTATCCAAGTTGGGTTTTTTTTCCCAATATGACCATAAAACCAACACAATTGGGAATTAAGAAAACAAAGAAATATGCAAGAAAGAACAGATTAGTAGTTGATTTGGTCCATTCAGCCCATATAACAAAGGAGGCTAAATGATATGGACAAAATATCTAATATATTTTTTTCAGACAAATATTGTCAGCCCTTACTGATACTGTTGACAGCGGTGAGGTACTGTTAGCTCCACAGGTTGATGGGACAAACCTGCAAGCCCTGATTATTGAGTATTGAGTTGATGATCCTAAAACAATGACATGATTAAAAGTTTAACTTGAGAATTTCCACTAATCGTTACTGTCCACCAGCTGTCAGTCATTTACACATGACAATTTCCATGCTAGCTGTTGATCTGAAAATGATGTTAGCTTATGAGCTAAAGACCCACTCTTGTTAAAAAATTGATAATGTGTGTGTTATAGGATAATAAAAATGGCAGCCCTTGCAATTTGAATTTTTTTCTGATATCTATTCTAAAATAATTAGTGTTCTCCCCTACATAGAAAAAGGCTACATTTAAAGCTAATGGGCCTTTTTCACTGCAGGAATTTTAGACTTGTCATTGTAGGAAAAGCACAGACATTTTTAATAACATTAACGATGGCCCTGTTCTGAGCCAAATGCACAATACCAGGACCCTGAAACTGAAACAGCCATCATTAATGTTACTATTCACACCTGTGCTTTTCATACTGTGACATGTTTGAATGACTTCTGTAAAATTTAGCAGTAAATTAAATAGGAGTGAAAAATGTTCAAGAGTAGTTAAAATTCCCATTCAACTGAATCTCAGAGTTCTCCATTTCTAATGTGTTGAATCAGTACTGCATATAATGAAAAGATGGAACATACCAACAACAGTACGATAGTGCTAATGTGGTCACTGCAGAGCCTTTGCATAAAATGTATACATTCAGGCTATTTTAATGCTTTGTGGCAGACTCTTGCCACTGTATGTGATTTAAAAGAGCATTGTGGTTAGGAGATGGAGATAAGTTACAGGTGACACCTTGCTAATCGCCATCGAGAGAATAACTGGAGCCTTTCCCCTCCCCCATGTTACCTTGAGATGTCCCCCTCCTCATCTCTCTCCCTCTCACAGACCTGGATGAATGCGCACACACGCACTGATGGACTCAAATGCACGCAGAGCATCCCCCGCATCTTCTAACAGTCAGATGGTAAAAGGAGAACAGAGATAGTCTCCTGTGGGCAGCATGCTGATACACACCTGCTCCACAGTGCGCACATGTACTTGTATATTCACTATGTAGCTCATTTGTAGCACAGAACTGGGTCAGACAGTATAACTAGATTAAATTGAAGGAATGTATAGTACACTGCAGATTCAGATGACTCTCAGACTCACTGAGATGATTTGGCCATTGTGACCTTATCAAATGAAATGTTCTCTGTACAGCACTTCAACATGACCCTTGAATGAAACAGTGAACAACAACAAACAATGAATTTAAGAATAAAAAAGCTTTGCTGCACAGTGTGAAGCCAAAAGATTATGTTAAAAGAAGAGTTACAAAACAGAGGGAGGTACACACACACATTCTGTTAGTGTGCAGAAAGTATATTGCACAGTATTGTAATCATATTTTAAATGGTGCTACATGTTAAAGCCATCAATATGTCAGTGTTAAAATATTTGTGACATGTTGATGATCATCAGAGAAAATGGTCAAGTGCGTTTGCAGTCTAAACATTTTGACTGAATTTAATTGAGATCCTGCTTCTTTAGTGAAATGATTTTGTTTTGGGTTTTGGTTGATAATGACATTTTCCTTTCTACCATAAATGAATGAAGCTGATTTCTGATGCTCTCTTTAATGATCGAAGGTTTGTGTCCACTAAAAGCAACCATTTTGGTATTCATAATGTATGCAGTTCAAGCAGTTTAACTACATCAATCCATAACTTTTATCCATCAAGGTTGATAGAGTCTCTGCACAAATTTCTTCTGTGAACCAAGTTTGTTAAAGACCACTGACAATCTGGTAAAAGCCTACATGTACCCGTAATTATGATTCTGTTATATGTCTTGCCTAATCTAAACATGTACCTTTGGCCGACGGACATATGTCCATAAGCGTAAACCTAGCGTTTACATTTTTTACTTTAAAGATGGAATCCACATTTTATCTAATGCATCTCATTTTATTGGTGTTTTGTATTTCAATTATATAATCTGTTGAGTATTCCCCACAGCATATTAAAAATATTTTAATGCTGAGGAAGTCCTCAGTATTGCACAGTGATGGTTTATCTGTCAGACAACTGACTGCTGTGGATCTGGTAGTGTTACCTTTAGCTGAAGATACTGAATGGAAAAGTAGCAAACGTAACACAATTTTACCTTGAGGCTGATTTGATAAGTAGTTACAGGAGTGCGATATCAGACATTCTCTGATCAGACAAGTCTGTCCTCTCCAAGTTCTACATGTAGCCTTTTTATGAGCTCTCATTACAGATGAAGGCATGTACAGAGTTTGACTGGATTCACTTGGGATTCTGTTCATGAATGTAGCTTTGTAGAACATCACAGTTTAGCATGCCATCCCACCAAACAACAACACGAATCTCATTAATTTAATGGGTGTTTGCACAACTGAGTTGGGTAGCATGATGAATACTGATCAGGACTTTACGTTTAGCACTGTTTTTGAAACTGAGGCTACTAATGTCACGTTTGTGGTAATTAATTTCAATTCCAGATGCAGAACAGCATGGGCTGTTCCTCTGAATTTCACTTTTTCACTGCCGCATCCAGGAAAAGGAGGTTTTATTGGCAGGAGGATTTCATTTCAGCCAGTAACACAATTGAATGTTAATGAGCACTTGTGGCCTGCAAGATGGATATCTAGGGGAATAAATGTAATCCTCCCTCTGTGTGATTATATGCTGGATGTACTGTTTATATATGTGATGACAGATTAGACAAAAGAAAGAGGACAAGTAAAAGACAGAACTTAACCATGTACCATCTTACGGCAGTTTGAACGCAGACTGCTTTAGTTCTTCATAAAAATGTTTCACCATCAAGATGATTCATTTTATTTGTACGTTAACACTTTATATTTGTTATTAGACAGTGCAGGGCTTGTTTATAGCAGGCCTTCCTACACATCCAAAACCTCCTACATGTGAGTTACATGACTTTTCCTCCCACTTGAACCTCTGTGCCCCTTTCCAAACAGCACCAGAAACAGAAAGAAAATTATGTTTGAGTGAGCTTATACAACAGACTCTCTTGCTGTTCAGTTTTATCCTATTCTAATTTTTATCCGCTCACACCTGTTCTTCTGTGTTGACCTGCCAGGTGAGCAATGGTGCAGAGCAACCCAGAAAACAGCAGCGCTCCGACCTGAACGTTCCCCTGGAGAACAACAATGTACCAGAGGTAAGATGTTTCTGGATATTCTGTCGCAGTGTTTCTTTCATCATCCTTCAGATCTGTTGCAAGGTCATTTACACTTTAGACAGATGACATTGTTGTTTATGTGTGTGCATACGTGTGTGTGTGTGTGTGTGTGACTGCCTGAGTAAATTAGTAATTGTGTAATTACAACCTCAGCTCATGTCCTCTGCTTGCGGCTTGATAGCGTCCTGGTAATTGAGCAGCATGCTTGTGGTTTTATGAGAGCCATTTTTCACTGAGATGTCTGCAGTGGATACTTCCTGTACAGGCTTCAACCACACCTCCCCGTCCTTGGGCGGAGTAAACATTCTGACTGTGTAGTGAGCAGGTTAGAGGAGCCAATAGATTGAGGGGGTTGAGTTTTTGAATCTCATCAATCACTTCACAATTCTCAGCTCTCTCTCTGACCATGTCTTGTCTGTAGCTTCCTCCTCCCTCCTGTACAACCTCCCTCTTCGAGTGGATGAGTAACGCTTTGCTCTCTCACCACACCTACTTTTACAGTGCCTTTTACAGTGTGAATGTGGGGCACATAATAGAAATGTCTCAATATATGTGATGCATTTTCTAAGTAAACACATCAAAGGAAATTCCCCTACAGGGATCAAGAGTGTCTGTTATTAATTTATTGTGGTTCTTTTTTTGTTTGTAATTGAACTTTCATGTTTAGCCTTTTGTGCATTTTCTAGCATTTTGTAAATGTCCTTGCTATTTTATGTGATTTTAACTGGTGAGGGGATTTGTTCTGCACCTCTGTAGTCTGGTAGAACAACATTTTAGCTGCTGAAAAAAGCAATATTCGCAGCAATGATAGAAAAATCATGAAAGCAAAATACACTTATTCTAGTAGTAGGGTGACTTCTTAAACCGCTTTCATAACATGTCATTTTGCTCAGGACTGTTCACACAGGATTTGTGTTATCATGGCAATTTGTGAAAAACAACTACCTGCCCAAATAGCAGAAGGGTATCATGTTTTGCACAATAGGAGGGTTAACTTATCTGTTTGTTGATGGTCTGAGATAAATCTCAATCACTGTTTCGTAATCACTGAAGTAAAAAGGCTCAATAAAAAGAGAAAAAGCTTAAAGATTCTCTCCTCATCCATATTTTCTAATACTTAAGTTGAAGTAAATCAACAGGCTGCCTTGCGTATCATGTCAAAAATCCAGTAAGGTTAAAATGTGGTGTTGTACATTAAGAAACAGATCTTAGCCAGGTGTAACACCTGACAACAGTCACATAGTAAAACTTAAATGTTTTTTTGAGACTGTAGAGACATACTTAAATCTCTCTAAACCTATTCACAACCATTTATCATGTCATATCCTGTTTTTGTCTTCCAGCCAACAAAGAAGGTTGCATCGTTCCCCAGCTTTGTCGATGGTAAGTTAATCTGTCTGCGCACCTGTTTGGTGATGAAATCACAATATTGTAATTGCATGGAACCATTCCAGGTATTACTTTGCCTCCGGTCAGTCACATCACAAGCTCTGATATAACTCTTCCAGTGCTCTTTCCCTGCCTCTGGGCAGATGCTAGGCCTAATAATGTGTGAGGGGTTTAGCTTCCTGTCTGCTTCTTCAGATCATGACAGCACATTGAGTCCCTGAGTGGGTGTCAGAGAGTCCACATCTACATATCACAGACGCAGATTAATCTCAACCCAGCCTCCCACCAGCGCCGCACCTCCATCAGCTCACAGCCAGTGGCCATCTCACTGCTCAATCCCACCCAGCCTGTTATCGCCATCTCTCCATCTCCTGAGCAACAGTGTTTGGCTTTATATCTCCACACAGCACGTCGACTGCAATGATTGAAATACCCTCTTCACTGCACGCCCCGACCCTCTCTAACTGCACTCTGTCCTTCCCCATGTCTCTCTGTTAATCACCATCCTCTCTGCTTCTCCCTGGCCCAGTCCCAGGACCCTGCGAACCAGAAGACCTGATTGATGGAATCATCTTTGCAGCTAACTACCTGGGCTCCACTCAGCTGCTGTCTGAGAGGAACCCCTCCAAGAACATACGAATGATGCAGGCCCAGGAGGCTGTCAGCAGGGTCAAGGTACTCGAAAACAAACCCACTCACAGCCAGCCACACTGGGTCACGCATGCAAACACATATCATGTTTAGTTTTTGGCCTGAAGATATCCATATCCATGTTTCTACTCAATCAGCAGGCTATGTGTTTTCAGTTATGCTGTTTTGTTTCTTTTGGAAGAGCTGCACAGATTTAAATGAGGCTCCTTCACTTTTCTTTTTTGACCAGAAAGTCCCAGAAACTTAGCTCAGGAACTAGTTGGCAGTTTCTGCTGCAGGAACTTTCCATGGGTTTCCAAGAACCTTTTAAGAAACTCATGAACTTACCTACATTTTAACTGTAGGAACCAGTGACAAAAAAGTTTTCTAGGTGCTAACGAAGTTTCTGGTTTGGGTGTAGTGATTTCTGATGGCTCAGGAACTATCAGGGTGGGGTTTGCAGGGCTAAATGTCACAGATTGGCCAAACACAAACACCGCAGGTGCTTCAACTTGTGTACATAAATCACAAATTAATGAAGCACTAGGCACCCCTAGTATTAATGTTAGGATGAGGGATGGACATGTCTTGGTGTCTTGTTAATATCATAAACAAAGTAATGAGAGTGAACGAGCCAAGAGCGCAGTAAGCAAATGAGAGAGAGCCATGGTCGAAAGAGCTAGTAAATGAAAGGGAGCGGTGGTGACAGAACAGAGAAAGAAAAACAAGTTTGTTTTCCAATTGTTCCATGGCAGTTACTTTCCAAAGAAGAAAGAAATAACAATAAAACACTGAAAACAAGAGTTTTTAATGTCTTTTTTCTTAATTTATTACACCAAACCCATACATCAAAGCACAACAGGATAACTGCTTTGTTGTTTTTCTGTGTAAAAATTGTGTTTCTAACAGCGGTGTAGTTTTTTTAATTTGTCATTGGTGTAATTTACCTAGTATTTACGGTTCTTCAGATGGGATGGAATCCAAACAGGAATGTGCAAAAGACTTAGGTGTTTTCCTCTGGTCCCATAATTCTTGAAACTATTTTGCAAAAATTAGTCAGATAATGGATTAAAAAACAATGTCTGTGTTTTAGGCAACAGAGTCATCCTCTTGTGGTTTGTAATTTACAGTTCCACGACTTTGATGTTTGATCAGATATTGTAAGTTGGACATACTGTAACTTAGTTTTTATTATCAGTGTTTATTGATGTTAAAACAGCTCTCATCCTAATATTGGTGTAACTGTAACCTACACAAGTTGTAGCAGCCTTGAGGTTTATGTTTGACTAAGTGACAGTAAAGAAAATTTCTCTGAGTCATGGGAAAGGACTAGAGACTTTTTGGGGGCCAGAAAATACATTTCCATTGTGATTCCTGAGTACTTAGAAAGGTTCTTTGCTTTCTGGAAAAGGTCCTGCAGTGGACAACAGTTATTTGAACTTATTTCCCTCTAACTTACTCCAGGCTCTTAGGGGTGTTGTTAAGATGTGTTTGTTCACGCCTCAGGAGACGCCATCTGATCAGTGTTGCTGGTTCAGAGCCGGTTGTATATGATGGCAGTTCTCTCTCTTCTCCCCAGAGGGGCCAGCATAATTTTCCAGTCGTCTTGTTGTTATTTATGCTGCACTGGTAGCACACAAATACCCAGAAGCCCTGCAGGAAATACGTCCAGCAGCTTTACGTGGCTAATACTGCATGTTGGTTGATCAAATTTGTCATACAGTATCATTGGACACATGGAAGGGAAAATAGTATTTCCACAAACTGAAGCAGATAAGTGAGACCTCGCTATTTCAGCATGTTGTTTAAATGTTTTATTATTTGTACTTAATAGCTATCATAAGGTATTTTTAGGTTTATGTCTGGTCCATTTTGCTCCTAGTAAAATTTACATGGACATCATTGCAGTTTGCGTCTAGAGTCATATATTAGACATGAGTGGTCTTTTAGGGCAGCTAAAGAACTTGGCCAGATTGGGCCACAGGGCATGTGTTTGACACAGCTGGCTGGATAATGGGACTGTTGGCATGTGAACCTTATATTTCCCTTGTTGACACTCGCTCCCTGCTGTTCACTAATGTTGTTGGGATGGTGATATTCCAGTGGAGTTTCAGAGAAATACCGTGGATGGTACCCGTGTAGCATAGAGGAGCTCGGCTCATATTATTTCTGATTAGCTTGATTGGTACTCAAAATGTCCCTCTTTCAGGAAAAGGTAGACTTTCAGCTTTTTTACATTTCTTAGACGTGGACTCGTGTCTTGGGTGATCAAAGCACATTGTTTCATGATATAATGACATCATGCAGCACTGATGTTCTGGTGCACCGTTGCTACCCAGACACCAGTCTCTTTTATCTCCCTCTCATGTGAACACAAGCTTGGCTGTATTTCTAAATATTAAATGACCTCCCGTGTAGTAGTCTACTTTTAGAAAGTTGCATGCTGTAATGAGATTTGTCACTGGTGAGATGGACACATGTGAGTGTGGTTGTCCAGTGGGATATGTCAGGAATTGAAAGAGTAGAGAGAGAGAGAGACATAGAAACTTAACATGCTATATGTGTCTTAAGTCTGAAATACTAGGTCAAGTTTCATGATATGGTTCCAGGTGCATGATATTAGCAAACATAAGATTGGCTTTGTCTCTATTTAAGCCACATTTTGCCGGTTCCTTATGTTTGGAAACTGTAAGTAAATTAACATATAGTTTGGTCCTTTAATTAAGAAATGATTAAGGCCATGTCCTTATACTTCAGCAGCTCTACCACTCAGCCCTACCCTTAAATTTGACATGGTTCAGTGTAGTGTAATCTGTCCCACTTCTACTTAGGATTGAAGTTTAGTGGTCCTAAAGGGAATCTTAATGTATAACAAATTGGGGCTGAAGAGAGCTAGAAATGTATTAGTATTAAGTATTTAGTACATCATTATTTATAATTATGCATGTAAATATAAAATCTGTTGGAATATGATGACATGATTAATAAGCAGTTGTCTAGGCCAATACAATACCAGCATTTTTGTATCAATACCAACACAATACTTGTTTTGATTTGAGGAATATAAACTACATAAACATTTCTACAACATTACATTTAAGCAAAGAAGTCAAACTTTTCAAATACTGGATGTTGTTAAGCACATTTCCTGAATTAAATATAGTCTCAAACAGGTTAAGTTATTAAATCATTAACGGTCTGCATTCGGTGCCAACTTTTGACTCTTGGCAGTTTTCGATGTTTGGTCCTGCAGACACATTCCAAAGAAGTATATTTGCTATTGAGCCATACTCGTTAGGCACAATGTCAACATCATAACTTGAATGTGGCATGAAAAACAACAACCTAAAGTCGGTTGTTGTCAGTGAAATCACGTTTTGTAGTTACAGAGTCAACCATAAATCCCTAATAAGTCCATTCTGAGGGCTCACAACACAATCAGAGGGTATTCTGAAACAAAGAAAAGAGTGACAATCAAAGTGACAGAGAGTCTGGAAGTCTTTTGGTCCGTTGACTGGTTTCAGTCTAAAAACCCTTTTCACTACAAAAAGGATGTCTACTGACATCATTTCATATCAATCCAATCTGTGTTTGGTTCTTCACTCACTCACTCACTCTCTGTCCTGCACAATTGCTTTGCCTGCAAAACGTCTTGTCAGGATGAAACCATGGCAACAGTTAGCTATCACCTTTTAGTGCTTTTCCCTTACTTGGAACAGGTCCATTGAACAAGAAACCATCCATTATCTCCTTTATTTGTCCCTCGTGGACAAGTAGTTGTACAGCAAACGACATTTAATCTTTGACATTGAAATGGACATAGTCGACTGCATTCAAACCAGATCACACATGCATCCAGACTTGTATGTTTGCTCCAGATCAACCGAAACAAGACACGCATATAGTTTACACAAGCACAGGAACGCACTTAGACCCTGTAGTTCTGAACTGAGCAAGAAGAAGTATGCCAGGTAAATTGTCACAAGGCTATATAGGTTATTTATGCAGATCTTTTCGGCATGATGTTCACTCTGTTTGATGTAATATTTATGCAGCTTCACCCCCCCCCCCCCCCCCCCCAACTCACTCTTTCCTGCTGTCTATCTCCTCCCTGCTCAGCTCTTCCTCAACAGAGCAGTAGATGTTGCTGAAAGCCTCAGATGTCTGTCTTGCGTGAGAGCTGATCACGGAGGAGAAAAAAACGAAAACCCGAAAAAGACTCTTCCCTTTGGGCTGTTTTCTCTGCTCTTTTTTAAACTAATACTGTCTTAGCGGTTACAGCTTGGTACAGCGGCTTGGGCAAACATCCAGTCTCACACAAATGTAAGGAGGGTCAGGATCATTTTCTCTCGTCGATGGCAGATGGAGAGAAGAGCAGTAGCTCAGCTTGAACTATACAGAAGGGTTGATTTTAAAAGATTACAAAGTACCCCAAAGGATTATCTGTGTAAATTCAACCACTGTAGGGCCATCGCCAAGAACAGAATTACTGATGAACTAATCAAACACATTAGCAGTGTAAAACTGCCTCCATGTTGATCTAAGCTGTTTAATTCCAAACACAGTGACTTTACTGTTTTTATGCAGCCCAGAGAACAAACCCCAAGCTGTGCGTTTAAATCCTTGCTAGGGGCTTTATCCCCTCCCCTGCCTCTGTGAGCATTGTTGATTGTTTTCCAGCAAGTCTGTCCTGGTAATAGCGTTTAGACTGTGACATGAACATGGAAGGTGGTAAGAGCAGGGCCCATATACACACAGCCTGAGCTATACTTTATTTTCTTTGTTAGCTGCAATGCTTTTAGAAATGGGAGCCTTACCATCTGTCTTTCTCTTGGCACTTGAAATGTCAAACTGATAAGAAATAAACCCACAAATAGACCCTCCATATGGAGCTCTATGTAGATGTCAAGAGTGCAGCAATAGTGTCAGTTCATGTCTGCACGCTTGTGATTTGCTGTGTTTAAAAAGAGAAAAAGCAATTTTTACCCTCTGTAATTGCTGTTTTGATTTGTATCTGATAACCAACACGGCTGTGCGAACGCTATCTCCACAAACACACACACAGTCACACACA